TGGGTTTTCTTTTCACTTTGTTGGTAATTTCTTTCTTTTCCATAATTTTATTGAGAAACAGCAATGAGACAGTTTCAAACCAAATTGGTAGGACAGTTTCAATAATTAACACATTGCATACATTCTTCCTAGTGGTTAATTGTTGTACAAGATGTGGACTTGATATCATATTTACAAACTCCATTAGAATAAGTCCCTCTAATAAATTATGAAGATAGTGCAGAATTTTTTTTTTCTTTTTGGTACCGAGGATTGAACTCAGGACCTTGTATTTGTCACACAGGCACTTAAAAATCAATGGCCAGGTAGCCAGTGTGTCTAGCCTTTGATCTGGTTTGAATTCTTCATGAAGTACTCTTCGTCATGTTTCATTGCTGTTGCCTTTGATCATTTATAATTTTAAAGAACAGAGTGGGGATAATGGCCAGCGAGGATGTTATGACCTATTCTGAGACTTGAAGGGCTTCCTTTTCTAAAACTGAAGAAGAACTTAAGCATTTGTATTTCAAAAACTTACATTAACTATATCTAAGATTTCCATTTTGTGTTTTATGAACAATGAAACAGGACCTAAAAGTGTCACACTTTTTTGTGACACAGAGGGGAAGTTCACCATACTTCACCTACTTTACCATCAAAAGTCAAACTTGCAATCCAGAATTCCTAGTTGTATAAGAGATGACAAAAACTTCACATGGATGAAGAAATTCACCCACATTTTCTCTTAACATATGTTTTTCTGCTATTATGGGAAAGCAAATTGTGTGTGAGGATGGAGTTGCGTTCAACTCATTGAATGCTAGGAGGAGGACCTTGCTTTGGCTCTTAGGTGAGTCACTGCGGTGCGCTGAGCTCCAGTGGCCTTTCTGAGCCCTCATTTTTCCCTTGGGTTCCATTGAATAAACTCATAATTAGATGCAAAGTGACAGCCTGGAAGCATGAACCCCCAAGTACCTCACAGGAGGGACCAGTAGTCAGTGAACATCCAGTCCCTCTTCCTCCCCTCTAATTTTAAGAGCTTGGCAAATTGAAAGTCTCATGCTGAATAAGTAGGAATATTAATACAAAATTCTTTAAAGATATATGTTAGTTTCAGAATAGACATTGCTCATTTATTAGTGAAGTTTCTTGAATTTAATAGTAATAGATGATGCATTTATTTTAACTAATACATGAAAAATTTTCTCAGGTGACCTAGGATGTAACATTTCAGAAGAAGCCCTCCCATGATAGAGTACAAGGTAGAAGTAGGATCCTGAGAAAAATTACTCTGGCCCCCAATATCCCTGTCAGTTAAAGCAGTTATATTCATTGAAATCTCCCCTCCCCAAATGGTGATCCACTCAAAATATTCTGCTACCAAACTTTGCCAGGTGCTTAGTGTAAAGTCACCAGTGGTCATCTCATCAGTACTTAGGGAACATCGGGGTGAGGTAATGCTTTTTATTACACAGTGAAGACACAGAGATCAGGGTTTTTAACTAACTTGTCCAAGACTGCTGAATCAGAGCACCAAGATCAGCTCCATCAATGTTTCTGAAGTGCTAGAAGTGGCGTGAAGGAGCGCTGATTCCAACAATGGTGTGTCAGGCAGCTCAAGGTAGGAAACTTCATGATGGGATTTATAGAATTACAAACCTTTTTTTTTTAATGAAGAGGCTGTGAACAAAGAGAAAATAGAAGGAGAATGTTGATGGCAGAGAGGACACAGTGAAAGGATAAAATCTGGGCAGGGAACGGAGATTGGTTGGAGAACATGTAGTTCATCTTCCCTCCCTCCCTTCCTCCCTCCCTCCCTCCCTTCCTCCCTCCCTCCCTCCCTCCCTCCTTCCTTCCTTTCCTCCCTCTGTCCCTTCCTCCCTATGATTGGCTCATACAAACACAGCAGCTGGGAATCTCATGAAGCATAGGCCAGCCAGCTTGGTGCAAGTAAAGTCCTAAGGAGTCTGCTGTGGGATCTCCTCTGGCTTGGGCAGCTTATCTTATTGCTGTATTCAGGCCTTTGGTTGATTGGTCGAGGTCTCCTACATTGTGGCAGACAACTGCTTATTCAAAGCTCTGTCCCAATGTCAACCTCATTGAAAAACATTTACCAAGTTCACACAAAATTTAGCCATTACATCTGTTTTGGAAAATCATATAACATTAGCTGGTTAAAGAAGCAACATATGCTATAATTCTTTTCTGAAATTTTAGAGATTGGCCATAAGTAGGAGAAAGGTCCAGTGATATTTATAACAATCGTGATTTGAATAGCAAAACAACTGGTGACAACCCAAATAGCTATCAACAGTAGAATGCACAAATACACTGGAGCTATTCCTACAATAAGAGAAATACTCTACATCTTTAAAAAGAAATAAATTATCAGTAAGCTCCCCAACAAGGATGATCTCAGCAACTGAAGAAAGAAAGTTAGAGAAAAATCTGTATTGTATATTTCTTTCCTTCACAGACACACAGAACTGAACAAAAACACAGATCTGTTATTTATATAAATCCAAATGTAGAGGTATTTTTAAAAAGCCAGTTTCCAAAGCATGAGTAGGAATAAGGCAAGGTAAGGTAGGCTCTAAGGAGCTGTGAAGTTCATAATTAGGGTGATTTTCATACACAGTATATGTGTTTTTTTCCCATTTGTCTGAAAACTATTTTAGAAAATTTCTTTCAAATTACTGAATTTCTAATAAAATTATGGGAAAAGATGTGATTGAAACTTTTGAGGTGTTTAAAAATAATTGTCTAAATTAAGGATGAGATATTCATTCTGATGTCATGGAGTGGGAAGCTTCAAGAAAGTTTCTGAACTTTTATGGAGGATGGAAAGGATGGAAAAATAATGATTTCATTTAAAAAGATGGGAAATTAGGAGACTGACTCTGGTGATGTTTTGGGGGCACCAAGTTATAAAGTAGCTTTTGGTCAGATGACAGTTGAATTTATGAGACAAAGAATCAAAAGAACATTTTGCAGTCATTTGAATGACCACTACTCTCTGTGAAAACAATGGCTAACAGAAAGCACTAAGAGGAAGAAGTCCAAGG